CCAAGAAATTGAGAAAAATTGAAAAATTAAGAAATCAAGAAATTCAAATACGGAAAAATTAGAAAACCGAAAGATTTAGAAATCGAAAATTTGAGAAGTCGAAAAATCCAAAAATTGAGACATCGCATTAGCCGAAAATCGAAAAATAGAAAAATTGAAAAACTGATAAATCAAAAAAAGGACTAAAAAATTGGTCTAAAGAGTTTAGACAGTACTTCCCTCGCTGTCGGAAACGTGACGACTGCATGTCTATTATGTTTTTTTTTCGCAGTAGATTTCTTTTTTTTTTTTGAGTCAAAAAATATGAATGGAATGATGAAATTACAAGTACAGACTCATCATATTTTGTATATTCTAGATAGGATTTATTCGGCAAACTTTTGAGCTGACGTCATCAGTTTTTTGTAGAAGATAACCAAATATACTTTGATTAAAAATTTATTATGCTCTTTATAACCTTAAAACGTTTGCAAGATTTCAAAACATTCGGTTCTGGAGTTCCTGATTAAATCAATAAAATACATTTACCCATTCATTAATTTTTTGGGTCACTCTGTATATGCAAATCCAAAAATTATGAATGGAATGATAAATCAGAAGAAAAGACTCATCATATTTTGTACATTTTAGATAGGATTTATTTAGCAAAATTTTGTGGTGACGTCATAAATTTTTTAGGGGGGATGAGCAAATACATTTTGATCAAAAACTTACCATGCTTATGATAACTTTAAAACACCTTCAAGATTTCAAAGCATTCGATTTTGTAGTTCCTGAGTAAATCAATAAAATTAATTTACGAATTCATGAATTTTTTTGAGTCACCCTGTATATGCAAATCCAAAAAATATGAATGGAGTGATAAATTACAAGTAGAGACTCATCATATTTTGTACAGTTTAGATAGGATTTATTCGGCAAATTTCGAGCTGACGTCATCAATTTTTTGGAGGGGATAAGCAAAAATATTTTGATTAAACATTTATTATGCTCTTTATAACCTTAAAACATCTGCAAGATTTCAAAGCATTCGGTTTTGTAGTTCCTGATTAACTCAATAAAATTAATTCAGGCATTTATTAATTTTTTTGAGTCACCCTGTATATGGAAATCGAAAAAATTTGAATGGAATGATAAATGACAAGAAGAGACTCACCATATTTTGTACATTTTAGATAGGATTTATTCGGCAAAATTTTGTGGTGACGTCATAAATTTTTTAGGGGGGATGAGCAAATACATTTTGATCAAAAACTTACCATGCTTATGATAAGTTTAAAACATCTTCAATATTTCAAAGCATTCGGTTTTGTATTCCCGGAGTAAACCAGTCAAATAAATTTACGCATTCATTAATTTTTTTGAGTCACCCTATATATGCAAATCCAAAAAATATGAATGGAGTGATATATCACAAGCACAGACTCATCATATTTTGTACATTTTACATAGGATTTATTTGGCAAACTTTTGAGCTGACGTCATCAAGTTTTTGGAGGGGATAACCAAATATATTTTGAGTAAAAATTTATGATGTTCTTTATAGCCTTAAAACGTCTGCAACATTTCAAAACATTCGGATTAGCAGATTCAAAATTAAATTGCAAAATGTTGTTTTATAATTTTGATTTTTTTCCAAAAATCTGGACGTTTCGGATAAAAACTCAATTCGGAGTCGTAAACTACATGTGTAGGACTATGTTATTTTATACAATTTAAAACCAATTTACTATGTACAATTTTGAAATGACGTCATCGCATTAGTGGTGGGGATGATTAGACAAATTTTGGTTAGCGTTTTACCATCTGCATGATATTACTAATATAAGTACAAAATTTCACAACAATCGGTCGAGTACTTTCGGAGATTATCTGTCTAATAAAAATCCGGGACGGCAGACAGACGGACAGACGGACGGACAGACGGACAGACGGACGGACAGACGGACAGACGGACGGACAGACGGACAGACGGACGGACAGACGGACAGACAGACGGAAATGGGAGTCCTATTTCTTTGTGTTCTAGGGGTCATGAAAGATCGAGAAAACGTAAAAGTAGAGAGTCGACCGACGGACTCGATTACAATACTTCCTTTGCTTACGCTCGGGAAGTAAAATAGAAATGTCGAAAAATAAAATTTAAAAAACAGAACAAATAAAATATTGAAAAATTGAAAAATCGAAACATCAAAGAAACCAAAAATCGAAAGATTGAAATAATTAAAATTCATAAAGAGAGAATCAAAAATTTGAAAAATCGTAAAACCAAGAAATCGACAAATCCAAAAATCGAAAAATTAGAAAACTAAAACATCGAGAAATTGAAACATCGAAAAATCGAAAAGTCGAGAAGTTGAAAAATTCAATAATTGAGACATCGCAGTAGGCGAAAATCGAAACAGAAAAATCGAAAAACTGATAACTCAAAAAAAAAACCTGAAAAATAGAAATGTGGGAAAACTGAAAAATCGAAAAATAGGGAAATCGAAAGAGCTCGAATTTAAAAATTGAAAAATTAAAACATCGAAAAATTGAAAAATCGAATCACCAAAGAAACTAAAATTCGGAAAATTTAAACAATTAGGATTCAAACACAAACAATCAAAATATCCAAAAGGCGAAAAGTTGGAAAATCAAAAAAACCAAGAAATCAACAAATCGGAAGATCAAAAGATTAGAAAACTGAAACATCGAGAAATCGAAAAATTGAAATGTTGAAAAGTCGAAAAATCCAAACATTGAGACATCGCAATTTAGTAGCTGAAAATCTAAAAATGGAAAAATGGAAAAATTGATTAATCAAAAACAGAACTGAAAAATAGAAATGCCGAAAAATTGAAAAATCGAAAAAAAGAAATCGAAAAAGCAAGAAATATTACAAAACTGAAACATCGAGAAATGGAAAAATCGAAAAGTCAAAGAGTCGAAAAATCGAAAAATTGAAACATCACAGTAGCCGAAAATCGAAAAATTGAAAAATAAAAAAAAATCTGAAAAATGGAAACCTGGAAAAACTGAAAAATCGAAAACTAGGAATTCGAATAAAGCTAGAATTTAAAAATTGAAAAACCAAAAATTGAAAAACCAAAAATTGAAAAATTGAAAACTTGAAATATTTAAACAATTAAAATTAGAGATGTACCGACTGTAGGTCTGGCCGACTAACCGACTAGCCGATTGTTCGGCCAGTAAACACCGACTAGTCGGCCGACTGTTCGGCTTTGCTAAAACCGGTTTATAAATGCGACAAACAGTGTGTTTTTTTTCTATTTCTCTGGCTACCTTAAAGGTTTGTTCTATTTTAATAAAAGGAATAACTAAAGTTCCTTTGTGTTCCAAAAAATCTGTTAAATTTGTTTGGATAATTTTAACATTTAATTTTTTTAGTAACTCAGTAAAAAATAAAGAATAACACAATTTAGGGCCAGTTTATACAATATTTTAACTGAGGTTAACTTGATCGCGCATTTAACAAGGCCATTAGCGACGTCTGATTGGCGTAGAGTCGGTCACATGATACTTTAACGCGGGGTTAAAAATTAAATCGCAATTAAATATTTAATTGAGGTTCTGTAAACCAGGTTTAATTGTTTTATATACTATTTTAATTTTAACAAAAAAAGCCGACCGATCGGCTGTTTAGCCGACTAGTCGCCGACTGCAGCCGACGATGAAAAACGGCCGAATAGTCGGCTTATCCGACCGGTCGGCCACTAGTCGGTACATACCTAATTAAAATTCAAAGAGAAACAATCTAAATTTCCAAAAGGCGAAAATTTGAAAAATTGTTAACCAAGAAATTGAGAAATCCGAGTATTGAAAAATTTGAAAACTGAAACATCGAGAAATTGAAAAATCGAAAAGACAAGAAGTCAAAAAATCGAAAAATAGAAAAATGGAAAAACTGATAAATCAGAAAAAAAAGCGAAAAATAGAAATGTCGAAAAATGATAAAATCGAAAAATAAGGAAATCGAAAAAGCTAGAATTTAAAAAATTGAAAAATTAAAACAATTAAAAATCAAAAAGAGACAATCCAATTTTTCCAAGAGACGAAAAAGTTGAAAAATTGAAAAATTAAGAAATCAAGGAATCGAAAGACACACTGTAAAAAATTTTATGGAAATTTTACCCCAAAAATAGGAGGCAACTAAGTTGCCTCCTATTTTTGGGGTAATTTTACTTCCACGGGTATCTTTACAAAATAATGTAAAATCACATTTTAGGGTAAAATGAAAAGTACCACTCGGGTGTAAATTTACTTTCCAAGGTAAAATTACATTTCAGGGTAAAATGGAAAGTACCACTCGCGTGTAAATTTACTTTATAAGATAAAATTACCCACTCCGTTCTACCTTTTAGGGTAAACTTATTACCTGTGCATGATGTAATTTTACTCGGATTTAAATATTTAATTTTGACTGGTTAATTTTTATAATTTAGGAAAATTATATAAAATATCATTATATTGTATAGAAAAAAACTGCAAAAAAACAAAACTTACATAACACACAATGAGAAAACTTCTACATTTGGCCCCCACTAAAAATTATAAAATGGCAAAATCCGGTTCCTGTTAAATAGCAGAATAGACCGTGCAATGTAATTAGTTCATTTTTAACACTCTTTAATATCATATGTTTTAATGCTAAAAAGAACAACACTTATGATGTTATCTTATGACCAAATTATAGAACAGTTAACAGTTTTAATGTTTTTGTTATTGTTTTTTATTTTTTAACTGTTTTAATGTTTATGATACTATAGATTTTATATTTTTATATTTACATAGAATTTATTTAATACAAGCGACCATACAATTTAAGACTGGGCAACTCCTCAACTGAATAGTGTTTGGTAAATTTTAAAACATATAAATGAGAAATAAAACTTATGTAATCAAATAAACTTGTTTATATAAATATGTAGTTCGTTAAAACAGTAACACTAATTTTATACTACGAAATAATTCTACATAAATTTTAATTAACAGTAGAACAGCACTATATCAGAGTATTTTTTTTAACAATATCTAGAATTTTTACTCTGTATTCATCAAAGTCACCTGAAATAATAAAAATGTTCATCCTTACATCATTCTTAAATCTTCATGAATTTATACATTACCAATATGATCTTTAATTTCTGTCACGTAATTTTTTTATAAGTGACAAAAGTTTCATCTGAGATGTTTTCCTTGTACTCTTTGTGCCCTGCTGGTGTTGGATTTTTAAAAAATACGTTTGCATACATTCTAAAATATGTGATAATCCTTGGGGATATGCGAGATTAAAATTATAATATATTGCAAACATTTGCTGTATGGCATGCGTCAGTGTATCTGTTCCATTATTAATTTTTTGGTTTTCCACAAGTACGTGGTATTTCATATTGCTTTGAGTTTCTAAAATTAGATTTTAGATAGTACTACTATACGCCATGGAAACATAATGATTACCGCTTCCCACTGCAGCAATCCACGGAGCACTGTTATGATTCTTGGGTAAAATTCCGTAGGTGTCGTCGTTCTAAAAGAAAACTTGTAATTTTGATTTTTGATATACTCACAAACTTACCTCAGGTATCTGCGCATACAACAAATTTAAACTTTCAGTAAAAAACTTTGAAATAACTTGTAAAACGCAGATTAGTTTTGCATCCTCTGCTTCTGGAATGTCTGTAATGTACTTTTTCTCTACCCCAAGTTGTATAATATTTTCGGCCTTTTTGATCATGGCTTTACTTAATTCGTTAATATCTTTATCCATTAATTTGTTAAAATGCCAATAAATACCCGATTGACAAAGGAGAATGGGCCAATGTTTCATTATATTGACTATCGATGGTGGATCCTCTTGGTTTAAATATCTTCTCTGAGCCGAATAGGTGAGATCTAATAACTTGAGAGTGTCAGCAGAAAATTCCACTTCACACGTTTTGGTCTGTAATAACTGTTGCGCCGTTTCTAAGGAATTTAAATGTGAGTCATTTGATGGGACTGGAGGATCCCAAAAACTGCATCCTGCTTTTGATGACTACATTTGCTTTTTCTTAGACAAAGGAATGTCTATTTTGTCGAAATCGCCGATTCGTTTATTTGAAGTTCTATTCAAATACTTACCTAATTCTTGCAATTTAAAAAAAAAATACTCCATGATAACCTTCTCCAATAAGAACACCGTCGTCGTCTCGATCTTCAAATGTACCTGGAAATTTTTTACACATTTCTTGTGCAATGTTTTTCAAATACTTTGCTGGTATCTGAAGTTCTTTCGATCTAATTTCCTCTGCTACTACATGAATCACTTCCTTAACAACTTTTGGATCTCTTTTTTTGTTATCGAGCACCTTAGTTCCTAAAATACTAACTTTTTCCCAGGGAATCACAAAATTTCTCCAGGTATTTTTTAAATTTTCTTCCTTGTTATGTTTCTCTTCTGAGGTCATTATATTTCCTAGATTAATACTTGCATTTCCTAAATCAGGATATATCATAGACCCATCACTACTCAAAGTAAGAGTACTGCAAGTACTTAAACTGTCAACTGATTTCCAGTTTTGATTTGGTTCTAATAAAATAAATGTTTCTGTAGCTAAAGCTTTTAGGACTTCATCATCATCAACATATGTGCCATCTGTTTCCAAAACTAATTTTGAACCGTTTAAGTTCATTTTCTCCGAAGCTTGAAAAATGTTAATTCTGTGATACGGTGTGTGTAATACTTCATTTTACCTACCTTTCAAGACCAGTGTTTCATAAAGTTTATTTTCTTCATCTGGGAGATTAATAAAAATTTTGATTGTTCGCGACAAATTCCAAATTTTAAATACGACCATGATTAAGGAAAAGTTCTTCATTTATCCATCATAGTCCATGAAAAAAAATATATATATACATAAATAAATATAATATTGTCAACTATACAAACATACATTTACTTATTAAACATTTTCCAGATAGTTTAAGAGCTGTTATATTAAATTAATGATGCAGACTTTAAGGAATAACAAATAATTTTTATTAGTAAAACAGTAAAAAACTGATTTTAATGAAATTGTAAAGAATTTAAAGGATTAAGACGCTACAACAAGTTGTATTACTGTTAAACATGGATTTAATTGTTAAAGTAACTAACTATTATACAAAAATGAAAATTAAAATAAAATTTTCTTTTACCTGATATATATTTTGATGTTAAATTATGTTTTTGGACTCCCTGAACAACTCAGTTCCTATTCAATCTTCTTTAAATTTGTAAAGGTACTGATCTGAAGCAAAATAATTTTTTATTTTCGAATTGAAAGATCATTAGAGGTTCATAAGTCAATAAATCCTTAAAATGACTACCGATAATTTCTGAATTATTGGATATGGTGTTATTCCCACTATCATATACACCTTTAGTTTTGTCAAAACAAATAGTAACTTTATACCCAATGAAATAAAGGTCAGTTTACGTACTAGTTACCAATATATATTTAATTTTACACAAATTGTATCTACAAACGCATGAAGTAATGAAATTTGCGTCCTACCAGTTACCAACATAGTAAGTTAACATGCACACTGTATATTTTTTATCGTTTGGCTACACTAGCTAGACCTGAGTGATCGCTTTATAGCGGCAGTCTATGTAGTGTACACAGGAAATTTCAAAAATAAATATGCTTATAATTTTTCAAATGAGAGACCACGCAGGGCAAGTAAAAAAATTGTGTATTATAGACAATACTACATTATGAGGTTCAAAAGTCCCATCGTTGCGTTTGTTGCAATACAACTTTACTATGCACACTATGCACTGTAGTACACCGGTCTCTAGTGTACGCAGCTCATAGACTGATCTAGCTAGATTAAATCTAGCTCCTCTCTATGATTACCTTAGCTAGAGCAAGTTAGGATACAGTGTAAACACACTGCGATTAAAGCAGTCTAGCTGGCCTAGCTCTAGCTAGACTTTACTCTACAGTGTGCAGGTAATACCTTAATAAGCAATGGCATGCACAATTCATGCAAATGTATCGAAATTTATATAAACTGGAGACTTACCTGCAAATAATGATCCTTCACACAATGATTGCTTCTCACCACTAACAAACTTTTGACACAGCATTTCTGCAGCGCGCCAAATGAGTATAGTCTTGGTCACGTATGCATGCGATAACTTCAAAACGTACGGTACAATTACCCAGAGTTGAGTAATTTTAAAACTCATTGTAGTAAATTTACACCAAATAAGATGCAAAATTGCATGAAAGTGTAGTATACCCCTAAAAATAGGGTATAAATACACAAAGACCAAAAAATACCTCCACAAAAAGTAAATTTACACATAATAAAGAGTTAAATTTGTTTTACCCCAAAATTAAGGTAAAATCACTCATTTAATATGGGTAATTATTACATTTACGTGCGGTAAAATTACATTTTTTTTTACAGTGCAGAAAAAATAGAAAACCGGAAGATCTAAAAATCGAAAAGTCGAGAAGTCGAAAAATCCAAAAATTGGGACATCGCATTAGCCGAAAATCGAAAAATAGAAAAATTCAAAAACTGATAAATCAAAAAAAGGAGCAAAAAATGGGAATGTCGAAAAATAGAATTTAAAAAAACTGAAAAATTAAAATATTGAAAAATTGAAAAATCGAAACTTCAAAGAAATAAAAAATCCAAAAATTTAAACACTTAAAATTCGAAAAGTAACAATCAAAATATCCAAGAGACGAAAAGCTGAAAAATCGAAAAACAAGAAGTCGAGAAATCCAAAGATCGAAAAATTAGAAAATTGAAACATCGAGGAATCGAAAAATCGAAAAAAGAATTCGAAAGGTCGAAAAATGAGACATCCCACTAGCCGAAAATCGAAAAATAGAAAAATCGAAAAACTGATAAATAAAAAAAAACTGAAAAATAGAAATATGGATCGACAAATTGAAAAATCGAAAAAGCTAGAATTTAAAAAATTGAAAAATTAAAATATAGAAAAATTGAAAAATCGAAACATGAAGGAAACAAAAAATCCAAAATTTAAACATTTAAAATTCAAAAAGAGACAATCAAAATATTCAAGAGGCGAAAAGTTGAAAAATCGAAAAACCAAAAAATCGAGAAAACCAAAGATCGAAAAATTAGAAAACTAAAACATCGAGAAATTAAAACAACGAAAAATCAAAAAGTCAAGAAGTCAAAAAATCTAAAACTGGAGACATGTTTTTGTGTACCCATCTGGAGTGTTGTATACTGTTTTATATTTCTTAATATTTTTGTACGCTGGTAATATCTTATTATTTATTGTATTATTTTATTTGTACTAATGGAAAGTTCTATTCCGTAAATAAACTACTTACTTACTTACATTGCAGTAGCCGAAAAACAGAAAAATTAGAAAACTGATAAAGAAAAGAAACTGAAAAATAGAAATGTCGAAAAATTGAAAAATCGAAAAATAGGAAAATCGAAAAGCTAGAATTTAAAAAAATTAAAAATCGAGTTAAAGAAACAAAAAATTGAAAAATATAAACATTTAAAATTTAAAAAGAGACCATCAAGATATCTAAAGGGCGAAACGTTAAAAAATCGAAAAACCAAGAAATCGAGAAATCCAAAGATTGAAAAATTAGAAAAATGAGACATCGAGAAATTGGGAAATAACATCGAGAAATTGGAAAATTAGAACATCGAGAAATCGAAAAATCGAAAAATAGGGAGATCGAAAACCTAGAATTTAAGAAATTGAAAAATCGGAACATCAAAGACAAAAAATCGAAAAATTTCTACATTTAAAATTTAAAAAGAGACAATCAAAATATCCAAAAGACGAAAATTTGAAAAACCGAAAAACCAAAAAATCGAGAAACCGAAAGATCAAAAAATTAAAAAATCGAAACATGGAGAAATTGAAACATCGAGAAATCGAAAAATCGAAAAGTCAAGAAGTCGAAAAATCGAAAAATTGAGACATAGTAATAGCCGAAAATCGAAAAACAGAAAAGTTTAAAATTGCAACATTTTTAATAATTAAAAAAATCGGCAACAAACGAAAAATCTAAATTCGAGAAATCGAAACATCAAAAAAAGTAAAAAACTTCAAGTTTAAAAATAAAAAAAAAAATTAAATATGGAAGAATCAAATAAGTGAAAAATCAAAATTGGTAAATCTGCTTGTCTAAAAATCGACAAATTTGAAACAACCAGAAATTAAAAAATACTGAAAAATCAAAAGGTGTTAAATTAAAAATTCGCATCGGTGTCTGTGGGAAGACAAATTATTAATAAAATAATTTTTTATTGTTTAAAAAAGTGAATCCCAAAAATCTTTGTGATCATCAGGGAAAGGGGGAGTAAGGAAAGGGTAAAAAGAGTAAGAGGGAAAAAGAAAATGACATAAAAAAACGGCCAATGGATATGAGAAACAGTGTAAAAGAGAGAGAAAGATAGAAAAAGAGGAAAAGATAGAGACAGAGTGAGAAAGAGTGGAAGAGAAAGAAAGTGAGGTAAAATGGATAAATGGGAAAGAGAGGGACTGAGAATGAAGGACAGAGTGAAGGGTAAGAGAGAAAGATAGTAATGAAAAAACCGACAAATGAAGGAACGGTGAAACGAAAAACGAAAAAACCGAGAAACATAGAAAAACGTAACGGAAATTTTGTATTTTTTCTTAATTAACTGAAATTTATTTGACTTAAATGTTTCAATTTAAAATTAAATTAGAGGTAGAGTACGAAAAAAATATTCTAATTTTGCAAATTTTCAATGTTTCAGTATCACAATTTTCAGTTCCTAAATATATTTTTCGTTTTTCAATTTTTCGATATTTCAATTTAAAATGTTTCAGTGTTTTGTTTTTTTAATTATTCGACTTTTTGATCCTTCAAAATTTCAGTTTGAATAAATTTGTTCAAAAAGTGAAAAATTAGCCATTGCGAAAATGAAAAACTGAAAATCCAAAACGTGAAAAATTAAAAATCGAAACTTTGCAAAACAAAAATTGAAATATTAAAAATCTTTTTTCTTCTAAAAGTTCTAAATTATGTGTATTATTTTCCGAAGTTTTAAGTTTTTCAACTTTCCGTTTTTTTAAATTTCTCGATTATTATTTAACTTTTGAACCTTTCGACGTTCCAATGTTACAGTTTTTTGTTATTTCAATTATCCGATTTTTAATTTCTCGGTTTTTCTATTTTCCATTTGTTCAATTTTTGATTTGCAATTTTTCGATTTTCCAATTTTCGATTTTTGAATTTTTCTATTCTTTATTTATCTATTTTGATACTTATTTCTGCATTTTTCAGTTTTAAATTTCTTCTGCTTTTTAATATTTTGATTTTTTATTTTCCCGATCTATCATTTTTTGAATTTTTATTTTTCGTTGTCTAAGTATTAAATTTTTTCAACTATTTGATTTCGCGAGTTCTGATTTTTCAACATATAAATATTCCGATTTTTAAATTTAATATACAATTTTGCAGTTTTTCTATTTTTCAATTATCTATTCGATTTTTTTCAGAATGTCAGTTTGAATAAATCTGTTCTTTTGTTGAAAAACTGAAGAAAAAGAAATCGAGAAAATGAAAATTAAAAATTGCAAAATTTGCAGAATAAAATGGGAAAATCCAAATTCTCAGTTTTAATTTTTTTAATTAGTTGCTTTTTTAATTTTTGGTTATTGTAATTTTTCGTTTTTCCCATTATTCAATTTCTCAATTTTTGATTTTTGATCTCTTCTATTTTTTTTTAATTTTTCGATTTATGGATATTTAGATTTTTACTTCCCGAGCGTAAGCAAAGGAAGTATTATAATCGAGTCCGTCGGCCGACTCTCTACTTTTACGTTTTCTCGATCTTTCATGACCCCTAGAAGAC